CCTCTCTGCGCAAAACACTGACGTCATTCTGACGATTTCAGAGCATACCAAAATGCTATTAGGGGTGCTACATATTACTTTTTTGTTTATGTGTGTAGAAAACATGGATGAATCGAAATATAAAATCTACTGTGAATCATTTATTACATTTATAAACATCAAAAGGTAGAGATACACGTCATAACGAAAGATTAAAATGATTTATTTTTATTGTTCATAAACTATCTTACCTGGCGTGGCATAGCAGTAATAAAGACCACTTTATTGTGGAATTTGGTCATTTCTAGAAGCTAATGGATGCATTAGATGTCTACGTAACATTCGATGTCATTATTGTGCGTTTTGGAAGTGGAAATAATTCAGAAATTGATGTTCTATCCTGTCTATTTTATGAAATCCCAAATTTTCCAAAAGATCAAATCGGAACATGCGACAGACAGAAGTAGGAACCGTTGTATTTTAGAGATTTTCAGTCTATATCTAAAATTCACGGTTTTCAAACAAAAAGCAAACAAAAAGTGTACCACTAATAATATACTTAGAGCTTAAGTCTTTTTTTCTTTATTTGACCAACAAGATTGAAGAATTGCTTTCAAATATCTACTTATTATGAATATTTCCCCCCTGTCCTGGTTTACCCATTGTAACCACCCAAAACACCCGGCATGCTCCACGGTGCTCCCGCCATCAGGGAAAGCCGGGCCATAACCATTGCATTTTGCAGTTTCGCCTTCAGTTAACCCCTTAAAACAATTAAATTACATCAACAATGGGTACCGAAGAAGACGTTCTTCGTATCGGGAGGAAGTTGGATAAGTTAATCGCAAAGAATTCATTCGTGAGTACTTTTAACGTGTATTCTATTTTCTAGGATGTGGTCAAATTTTGTCAACATGGCCACGCGACATAAATTTACTATTCAGAAACAGAGGAACCCATGTCTAGCCAAGACTTGGCCTAGCGGACAGTACTACCATGGAACTCGTGAGAATATAACAATTTTAATAGATATAGATAGGTAGCTTTAAATTGACTAGAGATGTTGTAGGAAATTGAAAGTCTTTTGTAATTCTGTTGTATAAATGTCAGTAGTTTTCTACGAATTCGAAACCAACAAGGTCTAGGACACTTTTTGCATAATTTGTAGTCTTTATCCAAATGGTTCCCTATCTTAACCCTTTTGGTATGATTTTTTTTTTCCATCAGGAAAATGCGCTGGACATTCTGAAGTCGCTGAAGGAGCTCCCAATGACTCTAGATATTCTACAGGTACATTTCAATAGCTGTTAACAAGTTACTAATTTATTTTTTCTCAATTGCCAACTGGAGCATCTGAACCAAAAGCTGTGTTACCAAGTTTGTACATACAAATTTTGATATACATGTAACGTTGAAGCCACTGTCATGCATAGCCGAATATGGCCTACCAAACACCCCCCAACCTAGCCGTGGAGACTCTACACTCTGGCTTACATTTCATCACCCTCAGCAAGAAGCCCGAATCAAGAGTCTCCACGGCTACCCCCAACCATGGTTAGGATGTAGGTGTTCGGTGAGGTTGGCTACTGTTCGGCTGCGCCAGCTGAATGTTTCAAAATGTTTAAAACATTCGGTAGTGGACTGGAGGTTGGGCCATGGTTGGACAATGGTTGGCTGGTGGTTGGGAGTAGGTCAGACTCAGCAGAGGTTAGGGCGTGGTTGGCAGTCAAGGTGACCCAATCAAAAGGTAGTCACTTCCTTATCTGGTCAGACTGGTCCCAACCTATTGCCAGCCTTGATTGGTTGGTGGTTGGGGGAAGGATCTGAATGTCTGACTGGCTTAATTAGTTTATTGTTTTACCACAAGACATTCAGAAATACATTATGTATGCTGACAGTGGAGCCCAGGCTTAGCTTTTGTTGAATATGTAGCATCCTTCCTTTCTTTTCTATTTCGACAAATTCATGTCATTAGAAAGTCACCTTGTAATCATGTACAACTTACTACAAGTATTCCCTTGTCATCTGGATACTTTCACTTTGCAGAAAACACGAATCGGGATGTCTGTCAACAATCTGAGGAAATCCAGCAATAGTGAGGAAGTGAACGCCCTGGCCAAGTCTTTGATAAAGAGTTGGAAGAAACTCCTGAACCAGAATGGTGAAAAAAAGTGGCTTTTCTTCTTCATGATTAGACCACCAGTGTCATGGCTTGTTTAGGTGCAGGGAGACATTAGAAATACCAGCACAGCACTTATTAATCTTCCTTTCCAGTTATAAAAAACTCTATTTTCTTGATTGATAAGGGAACTGATGTACATGTAGCTGTTTAGGTTCTGTATATGCATATTGACTAAATTTGTTTCCATGTTTTTTTATTTGAAAAACAGTTTTTGCATTTCCTTTTGATGAGTAGATAATACATGTTACATGATGTACATTTTGGTAAAAAAACTTCTTCGTCTTACTAAATAAGATTGATTTCGTAGGTGCTCCCAAAAGATCAGACTCTACCTCATCAGAGCCAGCGTCTGAAAAGTCTCCACCTGAAGGAAGAAAGTTGGAGAGACAGGATTCAAGCAGCACTGCGGGGTCATCCTTCTCTTCCAGCCAAGACAGCTTCCCTCCTGTCACCAAAACACACGACAGTGTGAGGGAAAAGTGCCGAGAGATGCTCGCTAATGCCTTGAAAACTGATGGTATGGAACTTGAAGTGAAACTTACTCTAAACAACATTCATCAAAAGAACAATTCACACATAGAATCTCTTATTTTTTTCAGCTGTATGTTGATGCTGTGAGATCTGTGAGTGTGTGTGTTTATTTGATATAATAGAAGTGTTGTATCTTTTGAATAGAAAATTTTTGTACTACATAGGAAGGGACTTTGTTTAATAGGCTAATAAGTATGGTGAATGTATGTATAAGACATGCGTAAAGTAAATACATGTATAGACAGTAGGTGACTTTCATATTTGAAATAGGATCAATAGAAAACTAGAATACCATTATTTACATTTAATATCATTCTCTTGAAATATCGGTTAAAAAAGTACAATGTCCAAGTTTCTGCATGTTCTTGTTTTTGTCTTCTGTGTTTTAATGTCTCCATTCCTGTTAACATTTGATGTGATATTTTTATTCAGCAAAACCAGAAGATGATTTCAACTACGAGCTCACAGCGGCCAGAATTGAGGAATATATCCTTTTTTAAATAGTTCTGCTCCAGTTATATAAATACTTTGTAATAGCCCATAATGTTTATCAAATTTATCTCATAATGTGTGTCACAAAACCTATGGCACTGGTACTTGTTTTTCACCAACATTATACTGAAAATTCATTGATCAGATTAGATACATGCACATGGTCCTTGAAAGTTTGGCATGGAGATGGTCAATGTATTTTTTGAAATCATTCAATTAATATAAATGTTCTTGCATTCTGTAGGATCAGTCAAATATGAGGTACTTTGTACTGCTATAGATTCTCTTGTTGATACAACTACAAGTTCACTGATGTTTGCTACTCATAGGCAAAACCATAAACATCTATCTACAATTGTAATGTAGTAGATGAGTTGTAAGTAATCATTCACTTGCTACTGAATACACAACACATCATTCATTTGCTGCACATCATTTATTTGCTGCTGAATACATGAGATTGGCAAGACCATAGAGCTCTATATACAATTGTAGTAAATAATAATTCAAAGGAATCTCTGCTGACTTGGTAAAAGTAGTCCTTTAATGCCAGTAGTTTGAATTAATCAGTCACTTTCTTGCTGTTACTAGTGTTAGCTGGTGTGTCATATTATCAGCTGCCTAGATACTAGTAGTAGATACTTATTATCCTTGACTGCAAGCTCCACGTATCTTTCAAGAGTTCAAGAACACAGAGATGAAGTACAAGACTAGGGTGCGCAGCCGTATTGCCAACCTGAAGGATACCAAAAACCCCGGACTGAGAGAGAAGGTTCTTCATGGGGATGTCAGCCCTGAAAAAATGGCCAAAATGACCGCTGAGGTCAGAAATATTCTTGATTTTCAATAGTCTACATGCATAATATTGCTCATTATGTAGTTATTGTTGTGATGTGTGTCTAAACAAATTTTATGGTGACTGGTATATATTTCTGGGTGCTTGTGAAAACGGTCTTTTGCATGACTCAAAAAAGAAAAGAATGGGGGTGTTACGAATTTTACTTATGTAAAATAAGGCTTTCTAAACAACATGAAGACAAAACATGCAAAAATTTTCAACATTTTTAGCTTTTCCATTTGTTGCATGACTTATGTTTTGTAATGATGTGATGAACATTTTTTTTATTCCTCAGGAAATGGCCAGTCCCGAGATGAAGGAACTTCGACAGTCCCTTACCAAGGAGGCGATTCGTGATGCCCAGATGGCCACCACAGGAGGCACCCAGACAGACCTGCTCAAGTGTGGCCGGTGTAAGAAGAGAAATGTCACCTACAATCAAGTAAGTATGGGCAGGGAATAGGAGTGGCTACAGGTATGTACTAGCAAGGAGTCGCATGTTTTGGAACTACAGTACAAACATTTTAAGGATTAGTCTACAGATGGCAAGGTGATTATAATGGGTTTTGAGTCAAAGTGTAAAATATGACCAAAGAACCATGTAGAAACTTGACTGTTTTCTACTCCTGTTGTGGCCTCCCTGCAAGTTACCTCCTACCAACTGTAATAACAGCCAATCAGTGCTGGAGATGCATAACACAAAATACATCACGCAAAGTTTACATATTATGTATACACAGCAATATTGATTGTTGTAGTAGCCTTGGTCATCCAAGACCTGGCAACCCCCCATTTAATGGGCAATAAGTCATTACATGTACCTGTAATGGTGTGGGTCCTAAGCCCTGTGTTGTTGTTCCAGGTGCAGACACGGAGTGCAGATGAACCAATGACAACATTCTGCTACTGTAACGAATGTGGAAACCGATGGAAGGTGAGTCCTGTCGTTACAGTCAACCTACTCTGTGTACTTAATATAGAAGACAATACAAACCATAGCTGAAAAGCTAAAATGTTGTGCCTGAGTCAAACATCACAACAACAGAACTTGAAATGCTGAGTGTATCTGTACATGCCATAATGGCAAAAGTTGTTCAGTGGGCAAATTTAAACACGTCAAGTGAGATGACATGTGTCATAGTTTTTTTACCTCTCTTCCCGTAGGATTTAGTGAATGTAACTGAAAATGCCCAGAAATAATTTATCCACCAGTAGAGTTTGAACTGCCTGTATTGTTCACCTCAATGTCTAACCTTCATCGATGTTCCTCTCTTCCAGTTTTGCTGATCAGTCAAGAAAAGTCAAGATGTTGACACAGCTCCCCATGATAATGTGATAATATTATGGTTGGAGAAAATGTATGCAGTGTTGCATACATGTGTAGCTTCAGCACCAACTGTGAATCATGCACTGTAGTAGACAGATGTTTTGAGTAATTATGCTTGAAAAATATTGAAACTCAAGGCGATTTTATGGTCCTCTATTCAGATGTCCTAAGGAATTGTTCAGCAAGGATTTGGAATGGGTAACCTTGTCCACATTTCTTACCATATTGGTTGAGGAACAGTACTTAGAGATGTCCATGTTCAGTGAGATCACTAAAGCTGTGTGATGATACCAGTTCATATTTTAGGACACTGTAAATACTTGTAGACCCAGGACAGTAGCTGTATGTTTGAACATTTGGAATTCTGTTACAAATCATATGAATCATTTTTATTTCTCCTTCAAAGTAAAGTAAGTTTTTCTTCTACAATGTCTGCTTGGAATCACTCGCATTGTGGGTTATGGGTTATAGTAAAACACATCTCATAGGTATGGCTTGTCTGTATGGAACAGTGTTTGTAAAGTCAGTTACTAGTATGTTGTAGATTGACGTCTACCAGTTGTACATGTTGCATACATGTAGGTCACATGCTAAACAGAAATGGGAACAAGGAAGATAATTTTTAGGTCTGTTCTATCATAGATAATTCATATCCTCTGATCTTCACTTACTCAAAATTGTCTCCAGATGCTGATCGTGACATATAGGGTGTTACAGGGAACCCAAAGAAAAAGCCAGTTGTAGAGAAGATGGAAAGATGAAATGGTCATACAGCATGTAGGTGCAGGTACTGCACAGTTATTTCTGACGTCTGGAGAATAACTGCACAGTTATTACTGCTCCTATTTTACCTGCAATATCCTGCATATGCAGGTGGTATTTTGAGCCCTGACGAACAAACTTGATAGTAGTGTCAGTTGTGGATAATGTGTACAACATGAGACACCACAGACAGGGAGAGTGGTTCCTGTACAATAATTGTGCTGTGATAACCCGGAGAATGGAAAACAGGCCTCTGTGCTAAAAGGTGTACAAGCTATAATAATTGATGGGAGAAACACAGAACACCTACATGTAAGATGGTATTTTTCTTCATCTTTTTTTGCTGACTACATCTACTGGTATGTGTATGGCTTTAGTCATCATATCTTCATCGAGGAGTGTCCATAAGAATTAAAAAGTTGTACATATTATAACTTACAGCTTTACTTTAATGTATTTTGTCCACTACTTACATGTACATAGTTTGTGTGTGT